CCGCTCGTCTCGGCACTCCTCAGCCATGGCCGGGGCTCCGGGGTGCCTCTGCTGCGGCAGGAGGGCGGGGGGCGCGATGGCCGCAGGTTCGACCGAGGGGCTCCGGAGGCAGGGATGGGGCTCGCTGTCAGCACCTCTCCGCTCCCGCGCCCCGACTCCCCCGCCTGCCCGAGCCCGGCCCCGCTTTATCGCAGCCCCGAAGCCGCTTTCGTTTTCGGTTCCTGGATATTTAAAGAGAAACTTGTAACAGCAACTAGGAGTCGAAAAAAAAAAGCGACCGTGAGCTGCAGGGTACCGGCCCGGGGCAGCTCCCGAGGTTCTGGGGCCGGGCGGTCCCGGCACTTCCCCCGCACGCACCGGCGGAGGGAGGAGGCGGTGGGGGCTCCAGGTGCTCGGGGTGGTCCGCAAAAAGCCATCGGGGCAGCAAAGCCCACTTGTATATTGTAAAGGTTTACTTTGGGTGTGTCTTTTAAAGATTGCTTTTGTGCCTTTTTCTCTTTTCCCCCAGTTTGAAGGATTGCACCTCGCATGCAGAGCAGGAGGCTGTCATGCCTGCCATAAACTTCCCAGAGGGGGTTGTGGATGGTCTGAGATTGTTGGGACAGCCTCTGCCTCAGATGTGGTTTCAGCCGTGTGGTAGATGTCATTGAGCTTCAGGTGCAGGCTTGGTTTCCATCATAGGGTTTTAGGGCAGCTGAGTGTGATTCTGAGGTACAGCAACAGACCCTTGACTCAATTTCATGTTTTGTTGCAAAATGACAGAGTAAATAGAGAACACCTGGATTACTGTGTTCAGTTTTGGTCCAGGACCATTCAAGGGAGAGAGTGAAAAACCAGAGAAGCGCTAGTGGAGGGTCAACATGCTGCTTCCAGGATTGGAGAGCGTGGCACATGTTTGAAGGGCCCAGGTTTATTCAACCTAGAGAATCCAGCCTGGTCTTCACAGGTGCTTACGGGACAAGGGTAATTGGAACATGTTTCTTCAGGTATCAGAAAAAAAATAATTCTCAACTGTAAAACCAATTAGACACTGAAATACATTTCCCAGAGAAGCAGTGGGAGTTTTCTTAATAGAAATATTCAAGACTTGATTTAACAGGGCCCTTGATTTAATGCCCTGCTTTTAAAAGAAAGCCAAACATCTCCAGGGGTACTTTCCCAGCCTGAAATACCCTGTAATTTAAATCACACCCTCAGCTGGTTGTAATGCTGAGATATGCTACAGCGTTCTGCTCAGTGGAACTTCTTTCAGTTGGAGGCTTCTTGTGTAGAACGTAATTTGTTTTACTTTCGATTCATTGTTGTCTCAGGTTTCACTCTTATTTCATCATTACTTTTCTATTCCTGCTTTATGGAAATTTCCTTTGAAAGACTTCTGAAGAGAGTCTTGCTACATTTTCCCTCCGCTACTTCTTCTGTCTTCAGCACCTTATTTGGATGACAAGCCTGTCTTACTCAGGTGCAGGGTGTGTACCTAGATCCTGTGTATGCTTGTCTGGATTTGTACCAATAGTAAATCAGGCCCAGTGTATTTATACCACAAACCCTTACAGGTCCTAAGAGTTTGCAGACATTAAAAAGACACTTGTCACTTACTTAGAGAGAAAAAAAAAGATCAATGTTACTTGAATGTTATTCCAGGTACTGCTAGGTTGCACCGGATGATGGCTGAGCTCCTACTCTGTCCATTGATCATAGAATCACAGAATGGTTTGGGTTGGAAGGGACTCTAAACATCATTGGGTTCCAACCCCCCTGCCGTGGGCAGGGACACCTTCAATTAGACCAGGCCGGACATCCAGCCTGGCCTTGAACACCTCCAGGGATGGGGCACCCACAACTCCTCTGGGCAACCTGTTCCAGTGTCTCACCACCCTCATAGTGAAAAAATTGCCTCTTAAGATTTAGATTAGATCTCCCTTCTTTCAGTTTAAAACTTACCCCTCGTCCTATCACTGCACTCCCTGATAAAGAGTCCCTCCCCATCTCTCCTGTAGCCCCCTTTAGGTACTGGAAGGCTGCTATAAGGTCTCCCTGAAGCCTTCTCTTCTCCAGGCTGAACAACCCCAACTCTCTCAGCCTGTCTTCACAGAAGAGGTGCTCCAGCCCTCTTATCGTCTTCCTGGCCCTCCTCTGGACTAGCTCCAACAGGTCCACAACCCTTTTGCGCTGAGTTGAATGCATTACTCCAGGTGAGGTCTCCAGAGAACGGAGTAGAGGGGGAGAATCATTTCCCTCGACCTTCTGGCCGCATTTCTTATGATGCGGCCCAGAATATGGTTGGCTTTGTGGGCTGTAAGCACAGATTGCTGGTGCACTGATGCAAATATCCAGACTCCCTTGCTCTCCCCTAGCTAGATGCTTACACTCCTCACGAACTCTGCCAGCTTTGAGGTCTCCACCCCTTTCAGATGTGACTGAAACTAGTCGCAGGGTTCACAGGCAGGGACTCTGCCAGAGGCAGGGAGAAGCACCAGGCCTCCCCCGCTGGCCGGCTCAGCAGAGAAGCCGCACGGCACCAGCTCCCGGCCCCGCCACATCCGTAACACCTCCCTCCGCCGCACGGCGAGAGCCCGCAGCCGGTTTAAACACAACGGCAGAAGCACACGCAAAACCAACGCGGCTGCGCCAACACTCCCACACCCCGCCGCAGTTCCGCCCCGGCGTTCCTCACACCGGATGGAGGCGCGCGGGAACGCCCCGCCGTCGCTGCGCACGCGCCTACCCCCAACGGCCGCTCTGCTCTCGCGGGCACAGCCGGCGGGCGGGGTTTCGGTTGGCCAATAGCAGGGCCGGGGCCGTTGCGGCCGGCGCGCGCTCGGTGGTCGCCTTTCCGGCCTGGCGGAGGGGGTGTGGGTACTGCCGCCTCCGCCCCGCGGCCTGGGGCCCGGCGGCCTGTGCGGAGCCTCTGCCGCCTCCCGCCGCGGTGCCCTGTCCTCGGGCTCGGCAGGGCCGCGGCCCC